GAAATATATGTCCGGGGTGGCATGACAAAATGTGAACGTGTGTTCTCAACCACTGCATCAATCGTTAAATTCTTTTTTTATCCCAAAACTAGTCTGCCCAATGAGCCTTTATGCGAATTTGATCTGTCCTGTCGTTTTTTCTTGTCCTTGCCAGATTTGTTGTTGTTGCCATTGTCATCTTGAGTATCAAGGTCAAAGACAGAGTGCGCATAATAATGAAGTCTGACGCTTTGGCTTTTCAGGATAATTTAGGCGATGTTATTTGCTGCGGCAAATGTCTTGTTCCTCGTCGCAAGCCACTCCGCCTCTAACATCTGCTTTGGTGTGCGATGTTGACCTCCACTGCGCCTGCAGCCATTTTCTCAGATTTTGGATTAATCTCCATTCTCTCTGGATAGTTCTCTCAAACCACGAAAACGCCGGTCCCTGATTTCGTCACACAGCTTTCTCAGGCTGATCGCCTCCTAGATCGTTTCATTTTTCATTCGATGGAAGTATCGCACTGTAAAAATGTTCCGCAGGCAGCGCTGATGAAAGATGTTCAACCATCTTTCCATGACACTTTTAAACGGTGGATGTTTGAGGCTGTACATCAGGATTCAGAAGGCAGCTCTCAATATAGTGATCTGTATTGTTGCCCGGATAAATCGATGTTGTCACAGTCTGAGAAGTCGCCCGGATTTGCAGAGATTAATCCTTAAGGCTGCTCTATTTCTATGTTACAGCTTCCTTCTTTTGCCAATCCAGAGCCAAGGTATTTGAATTTTTCGACCGCCTCGTTGACCATTCCGTTTGTGTCGTTACTCGAGCCAGGTGTTCGTGAGATCTTTCTAGTGAAGTTAACTTTTAGTCCTCGAGTCTACCTTGCACACTTCTCGAGTTAGTGTCAGTAAGCCATTGGCGGTCACTCAATCCCTCACCATTACAGTGTCGTCAGCGTATTCGAGATCTGTTATTAGTACTGTTGTATACCTTCGGATGAGTCATCGTCTGATAGGAAATACTCGTTGTTGGGGACGTCATTCCTCACCAGCACAGAATCCACCACCTTGTTGAATAGTAGAAGCGAAATCATTTCTCCTTGGCGCAGGCCATCGTTGGTAATAGCCAGTCTGAAAATAGCTCTTGTTCTGATAGCGCCTTTAGTACCTTCATGCGGTCCTTTTGGCAAACCATTGATCTTCTGTCGTACTCCGTAGTTTCGCAGTATGCGCCACAAGGATTTACTGTGTACCGAGTCGAAAGCTGCTCGGAAGTCAAGGGATGCTGCACGTCAGGGCAGTTGAAAGCTCTTTTTCTGTTCTGTTATCATCTTTAGTATGACGATGCTATCTGTAAACAAGAGTTCAGTACGAAACTGTTTGATTTGATCGAAGCGAATCATCTACTCTTGGAAGGGATTCGCGCGAATACCGTTTCCAACATAGGCAGAAGCGTGACTCCACGGTAATTAGTGCAATCAAAACGTTTAAATCACGCCCTATTTCCAGTTGTCAAAGTTTTCTGACTTCCACCAGATGCTATCCAAAACCAGAGGGATCCGTTTCAGTAGGGTTTCGCCTGGGCAATTTAGAATTTTCACACTGATCCTGTCGCGCCCGCAGGATTTCGAACTTCAGCAGAGACGTGTCGCATCTCGGATTTCATATTTCGATGGAGTCAGTGTCCAGTTTTTTTCGGTTCTCTATCTCTTTTTCTAAATCATCCACTAGGGTTGTTTAGAAGTTCTTCGAAGTGTCCAGCTCATCTCCTCCGACGGCCTTCTGGTGTCAGAAGAGGCTCGTTGGATTTGCTGCGAATCGTACAATTCGGGGTCTTATGTTTCCTGCCATTAGTAATGATGTTGACTTGTCTGTACAGCATCTTCTAGGTCTTTTTCAATGCCTCCTTCCAAGTTCTGCGCTTTGAGATCCATTCTTGTAGCTTGTCACTGCGGTAACTCCTGTTGACTGCTGTCATTAGATGCCGATACTCTCACTTCTTCGTATTTTCCGAGAATTTGTTTCACCGCTTTCTTCTTTGGCGAAGGTTGAGGGTTTCTGTCGATACCCACAAGTACTTCTTTTTGCTTGAGCCGAGTATATTTGCTGCGGCACGGACGATACCCTGTTTGAGTTGTTGGTACAGTAACTTGGTGACGTAGCAGTTCATGTCCTTTATAGCAGCGAATATACTGTTGATCTTGTCTTAAAATGCCGCGCAAGTTTCTGGATTTTCAGTTTGCTGGCGAATCAGGTGTTCGTCCCTTTCCGTGCTGTTCTCAGAGACGTAGCCAACTGGAAGCAGATCACCGTAAAGTGGTCAAAAAGAGCCATTGTCAGCTTTGCGTCTTGGTCGAGTGTTGTGAAGGGCGTTTTATATAGGGTCCAGGCTGACTCCTAAAGCCGTCACCTGACGCTGTCGCATCTGCTGACGGATTTGACGGTGGAGAAACAGCGTACCGCCGACGACTAGACCGTGCGTTGAACAAAGTTGTTATAGCTATTGGCCGTTGTTATTCAGCGTCCCTAAGCCATACTATGTCAGTTGGAATTGTCCCCTCCGACCTGCGCGTTCATGTCACCGGCCATGATTGATGATTGATGGTGCGGAAGAGAACCGAAAACTTCTTGTAAACTTGCGAGGAAGTCGTCCTTCCTTTGATCGTCTGCGAAACTGGTTGGGGCGTAAACGACAACATCGTTGACCTTTACATGCTTTGTTGCAAGATTGTAAACAAGCATCCGATTGGCCGTGTACTCAACGGAGATCAAGGCTTTCACCTCTCATTTCGACAGCAGCACTGCCACTCCTGGCCGTCATTTGCATGTTAAATTCTGGTTTTCAGACCACTGAAGCTTTTCAGACCGCGTTTTCCAGGCGGTCTTCTACCTGAGCGGGAAATTTCACATTCTTCTGAGATCAGAAGGATGTCGAGATGTTGCCACTTAACTGTTCAGATGGCAGCATCCAGCTTGCCATCTCCGTTTAATGTTCACACGGTCTAACATGCGGCACGGGTCTTCTCTTTATTTATGTTGATCTGCTAGCGGTCAGATTTATTGGTAGTAGACGTTCAGATTTGTGGACTGCATCACTTATCGCACAGGCCTCGCCTAATCAGGTCACGTAACGGAGAGAACGCTACCCAATTGCTAAACAATGCCAAATTTACTCTATTCAAATTTGCCCTGAACAGTACTTACAGAGATTTTGAGAGAGTTACAGGAAGATGATCAATCAGCCGCGAGGTCGTTTTCCACTAGAATGAAGAAGGTGCTGTTTCGTCAGAGATATAGCATGGAGCGAATAAAATATATATCGATGAAGGACGGAAGGGAAACTAGACAATCAGTGCTTCAAAATGTATTTTATGTCTATGACAAAAGTTGTTTGAATACCGTCGACAGTTTTGCCCTTTATGATGTTCTTCGCTTCAAGTTAGAAGAATCATAACGGTCGCTGGAGCTGCTACGTCAGACTAACAGTGGCGAAAAAGATATCAAACTCTTAATGTACATGTGCTATACGATATATACTCTATTATGCGTATTATATATGAGCTATGCATGTCTTCCACTTTATTATATTCTGTTGCAGTGGAAAGATACGGACTACTCTACGCAGTGGTGCTATGAAAATTTCATCCAGCATCGATCAATGAAAAGAGCTCGTGATGTTAGGGATCAACTTGAAGGTCTGATGGATCGGGTCGAGGTCGAGATCGAATCGAATCCGGGAGACACCGTCGGCATTCGAAAGGTTGCGCCTATAATACTCCAGTGAAGCGGACAACAGTGACTAATATTTTTCAGTCCGTTACCGCCGGCTATTTCTACCACACAGCGCGACTCAGCAAAAGTGGCCAGTACCAAACAGTCAAAAATCCAAACACGGTGTTCATTCACCCTAACAGTTGCCTGTTCGAAGACCGACCGAGGTGGATCATATACCACGAACTGGTCTTCACAACGAAGGAATTCATGCGTGAGGTTTGTTGAGTACTTTAAATTTTTAAATTTTCTGGCCGTGCTATAGGTTTGATCGTTTTCAAACGCACCCCAAGGTAGCAAAACATGTTTGTCATGTGTGTTGAAAACAATATGAGACACTGTAAAATTATAAAAAATACTCTGTTTACAACTAAACAATATTTCTAATCAGGTGATTGACCATTAGCGATGTATCATTCCGTGTCTCACTGCTTTCGTAAAGGTAAAGACGTTGGTTGATTTTGGAATTAGTTCCCATCATTTACGTTCGTTCGTACACTTGAAGCCAAAAGGTCAAACGTTGAAAACGTCGGTATGCTCAGTCATCCGATTCACATGCTGTTTGCGTTTTGTATTGATGAACCGTGTTTTACTATATTGTTTTCAGTATGACCACCAGTACATGAACGAAGTGCCCAATCTTCAGGTTTAGTGAATGTTACCGAGTCTCAGAATTGATTGCATTCATGCTATGTATACGTGGCAAAATTTTTCCGCCGTCAGAATAAGTTAATTAGCATATTACTCTTCAAGGATCAGATTTTACGCCGTAATTAATGGATTTCTAAAACTTTGGGATCCATTTAACCATACCATAACTGTGTTTTGTTTGAGCCGTTCCAGCTGGCTGACTGTCTCCTCGTTTTACTTACTGTGTAATGCCTTGCTCATCTCAAAAGAGTTTGAGGATTTGGTTTGTATGCCTTTGCCAAAGATTGCAGATTTATCTTTCGAAGTATGTTGCATAATGACAACACTTCTGAAACCGAATTTTACGGCGCATTGCCCACTCCTTGCTTCCATGCATGGGATGCCTATGTTGCCTTCTCCTAAAGCATTGTTGATGATGGCCAAGATATTCATGCAAGATCCGTCTAGCGCTGCAAGTGCTCCTGTGCCATGTAATACCGTAATATGTATAGTCGGTTCCACGTTGTTCAGTTTTTCTGGAGTTAAACACTTACTTGATTATACTTTTATTCGTAACATTTATGAAACGCGTAGAAATACGCAGCTACAAAATAACAGACGTGGTCACATGTTATTGACTACTATTTTGGTATAAGTATAATTGGTACTTTAGCGAAGAGGTGAATAACTTCGCATTGCATAGTAATTTTAGAATTTAATGTTATCAGAATTTACTTATTTACCTTTATCAGTAATCCGGTACTACAAGCAGTTCGTCAGGAGGAGCGGAACGTCTTACGTTCTGATTACCATATAAGTGATATTAGGTATTTCCAGACAGAACATGCTTCTTACTTACGGCTTGTCAACTTAGATCTGGGCCTCGCCTTGAGCTCCTTCATACAGCAATGCTATCCGCAACACCGTAATTGAATTTTAGATGATACAGATATTATAACAGTTGTGAACATACGTTTGTATTATGAAGTTTTATTTGCGTGAACTTCTTATGATTAAGCTGCGCTTTTACAGCCAATCTGTTGCTTTTTTGCGATGATGCTAAATTAGTGCGGATATGCAAAATAGATTTTTTCCTGAAATGTATTTTTCAAAAAGCGGGCTGTTGAAGCCATTAAAATGGAAATGTTGCATCTCTCCTGGTCCTACTAAGATTCATGTTTTGTTTTTGTCTCACTGCTCTTCTTATCGAGCATAAAATGTTTACTTGTTAAGCTTCTCCGGAAACAAACCTAGTTGCGCATTGAGAGAGATGTCTAAGTATATTTTTCGGCATTTGGCATCAATTTTCTAATCTCGTTTCTGCAGCTTTTTACTTTATGAATTAAAGTTTTGCGTAATTTTAATTTGAATTATTGTATGGGTTTTCGATGCTTGCTATTTAATGCTGTTTGTTGTTTGTTCACTTCTTTATAGTGTGTGTTTTGCAGGTTATTGAGATCGAAAATGTGTGGCTTTTGGAGGCGGCTCCTCATTACTACAAGCAAAAGGAAATCGAAGATTCTACAAATAAAAAGATGCCGAAAACCGTCGGCAGATCTCAGGAAGAATTACCGTCGAACAAGATGATAGCTGAAGGATAAGTCTACGATTAAAAGACTCGATCGTTCCACCAGTTTTGCTCTGTCTCAATCGAACTGGACAACCAAATGCACGGAGGCTGTCGGGTTTACAAGTCTGAATGATCGGCATGCATGGCTATGCGAACGCTACTGTGAGAAATTTGCCCCTCGCTAGAAAGGCTCAGTATTAATGTGAAGCATTTTCAACTTTTTGTATATTTATAAATAAATGTTGACAATTTTTTGTTTTTTGGGCACTTTGACTATTTGTTGGGTGACACGTTAGGCAGTCATCGCTTTACAAATGATCCTTCTAGTAGCATTGGCGTGTCGCATGCATGAGATAGCAGAAGTTTAGAGGTCTTATGCGACGGGTATGTCGTTGAGCATCATATGTTGCAGCATTAGCGTTTTCGTTGCATTTAGCGTTCCAACGGTTGTTGCTCTCCGCTAGCTTTTGCCGACGACAAACTTTTAATTAGGTTGACTGCAAGTATTACGTAAATTAATTACTGTATTAAATAAAAAAAGCAAGTAATTGCGTTTATTGTATATAATTAAATCAATTTCTTTAAGCAAGAAATTTGTCTCGCAGTGTTCTAGTAGAATTCCCGGAAAGTGTAAAAAACTGATCGGTTGACCTAGTACATATGCAGCATGGCAACGATGTTTGCAAGCAAATGCTTGAATGACATATAACCGTGTTGCTGCGCATGCTGTAAGCTTTGGATAGAGAAATATCGTGCTTAATTTCTTTTCATCATAATATCATAAAGTACTTTATGCATTTCCCGAACGAATGAGTGGGTAGTCCGCTGAATTCGGTTGTAGGCATGCAAACACACTGGTAAGGTGAAATTCTGTACTCCTGCATTTCACCCTCAACATGAAGTTCGAAATATATATAGTTCTATTGGATTACGGTCATGCCCTATCTCAAACTTAGACATGAATGCGTTATCGGTTACGGCTTGTCATCTGAGTTGGCAATCTGTCGAAGTTCGACCTAAATGGTCTGCCGCTGTGAAATGCAAGATCGTTGCAAAACTTCGTCTGAAATCAGCAGTGGTCACGCACTCGCAGATTCTGATCTAAAACTGTTTAAGCAAAAACATTTTCGTATAAGAAACACCTAAACTTCAGCTTCACGCCAGTGTTCACAGTTCCTTGAAGGTCATTTTGAAGTATATGAACTGATTTTTTAACTTATGACGAACCATGAATCTCCATTCAAGAGCATGCTGATGTAGAAAAACTGCTTAAGAGGTCTGGTTCGAAATCTGGAGATGTCGGGTTCAATTCCAGACGAGAGCAATATTTGGCTTATTTACCAACTCTTGAACAAGGAATTTACCATAGGTTCCTCAGATCAGAGTTACTCAGTCGGTACAGTACTGAACTCGGGACCGATAGGTCTGGAATTCGTGATCGCTCAGAATTAGTTGCCTTTCGTCCTTCCAAGGTTCATAAATGATAACCACTCCGTGGGAAGGAAACAAGAGATCATATGTTGCGCTTGCCATAGGCTAGCTGTAGCTTTGTCTTTAACATACGCACTCATGAATTATGCAACAGAAACGGAGATCAGCACTGCAACATCACGAAAAGAATAGGTTCATCGTAAACGTGTAAGCTTTCCTACGGTTGTAAAGTTTCCTTTCCATAAAGATAGGCAGGTTCAATAAGTAATACTGTTTATCTGTACGATCGCCTATCTTCGTAGAAAGAAAGCACTCTTTCGACTACCTATGACTTCGGAATTGGAAGCTGAAATAGAAATCATCGAAAAGTTGAGAGTAAGTTTTTTGTTCTCTGATTCTCATATTTTTTCATTGTCGCTGGTCTGAACTGAGGTAAATACTGTAAATAAATTGCACCGCTCGTCCAGTAAACATTGACGGGCTTCTCAGAAAATATGTAGAAATTGGGATGATGGTATTATTCTTCTACGTGTAATGAATGAAATGGTGTGAGAAAAAAAGTATGAGGTGGATAAACAAAATTAATAAATACCGCAGTGTTGCACACTAACGATCCTTGATAAAATGGTGAGCTTACTACTTCGACAGGATCTCCGAGCTATCTTATTTGTTAGTTCAAATTAAAGAAACTGTATTCTTTCCCTCAAAGTGAGGAAGACAGCAAACATTAAACGAAACTAGACAGCTGAAGTTGCTTTACGCCGTAACGGCAATATAAGGACCAGAGTCGGTTTTGAATTTAGATCTTTATCATTAACTTAGCCCCATCCATAAAACACCATATGCGTCTTAACGGGTGACTCTAAGCAGTAACAGAGCAGTGCGGATTTCAGGTAAAGAAGCTTGGACTTCACCCTTCGTTGACCGAATATATGAACATCTCTGATATCGATCACCTTGTCCCATTGAGCGCAACACCATGAACAAGGGAAATGCGCGTTTTCAAATTATCGCCAATACACAGTGAGTGAAAGTTCTTCATGAACTAATTACAAGGTAGAACGCGAAGGAATTAAATATTGGCAAAGCGGGCTAAATTGATGCCAGATTGTCACTGAGACATAAGCCCTAAGAAAACGGCTAGCGGAATGCTGGAAAAAATAACTGTTGCATCGAATGTTCACTTCTACTACGAACCGAACATCGAGGGAATATGTTAGTTTATGCTCAAAAAATAAAATGATATTATTCGTTCGTGACGCCAATCTTTATTTATATCTTGTGATAACTGTCTTTGAATGGTAAGCTATCAATTCAGTCAAAGCAAATTGCTGATGTATGGCTCGCGTCAGATATTATAGCCGTATCTCGCTGTTTCTCATGTGACCACACCAGAATGCCACGTTCTCCCTCTTATTTTCAGCTCAGCGACTTGTTAACTTACTTATTTCGACTAGTCCTACATAAGTAAGGTTGCACTAATTCGTTATTTTATTTAAAGGAATAGCGGTTAGTAGAATCTGTTGGGATTTGAATGTGATTCCTCCAGAGGTCGAATTTTCTCTTTAGCTACTGTGTCACCGCCTCTCCTCCCCAGCATTCATAGAGTAAAGTGTTTATCGTAAGACTATACATTATACTGCTCTTTTTTAAGTTATTTTTGTAAATGTTTGTATTAAAATAGTCAAAATTACTTTAATTAGTTACTTTAATAGTCAATAATCATACTGTCAAATACTAGTGGATTCACTTAATCCGTCGTCTGGATTAGTCTGATCAGACGAATTCCATGTTCACCAAAGTGCGCAAATTGTCATTCTACTTGATGAGGCTGTTGAAATTCTCAGCGAAAAACCTTCAAGTAAAATTCTTCGTCTCCGACTTTAGCTG